AAGAATCATTAACAGAAGCAGGTGTGTCAGGGTTGAGTTTTGCTGGTATACGCAAAAGAGTGGAGCAGGTCGATGTCAAGGTGGGGACAACCGGAGAACCCAAAATCTGATCACGAATATGTGAATATTGATCAGCAAGTCCGTGTAATGCCCCTAGCATGAAGAACTTTGATCGTTGTCCTATCTCGGTGGCAGGGTCGGGGGAAGGAGGCAATAACTCATTGAACTCATGAAAAAGAGCATGAATTTTGCCCATATAATCAGTCATAGAATCTTGATGTTTAGAGGCAATAACATCTACAAATTTAGAACAGACATCATAGAGACGTTGAGTATCATTGGTGTATAATAACTTGGCATGTTCCCAGATTTTGGCACATGTTTCGTAGGAACAAAAAATTTGTTTTAACGAAGGATCAAGAGTACCCTTGAGAACCACGCATAATTGAGCATCAATGGTGTCCCAACGGTCTTCCTCACCAGGAGTGAGAGTAGGTGATTTCGGGGCAAGATGATCAAGATACTTCTGACTCTTAAGCCATAATCTGACGTCTGATGACCATGTGGCATAATTAGGGCCAGTTAACTTGTCAATGGATAAGTGCACATTAACATAGTTAGTGTAGATGGAAGGATCAGACGCAAGATCTGACTGAATTGGAAGTACTAAAAGGAGCTGAAGAACTCATAAAGGGCGGAGGCGATAGTGACAGTGCACGTGAACCAAGACACCAGGTAAGTTCCCAGGAAAGAGAGGTGGGTCACTAATGGACACGCTTAAATACCAAGTCTTTCCTTGTCAGAACTTTCCTAGACATGCACTTTCACACTACCAAATAACCGACAGCGATAGCGGCGGTGGTGACGACTTTAATAGTGGTCAAAGGCAGAAAAAAAAAATCAAAATAACCTTAAGCTCTAGATACCATGTTGAATATAGAAGAAATAGAGTTTGAGATTAATCTCCCTTGTGTATAAATCACACATAGGGTAGTCTATTTATAGTAGAGAGATACAACTAAAAGAGTAATCGAAAGTAATAGAATAAACAGAAGATATTGTTAGATATTATGGTTAATATCTAACAATATCTTAACAATATTAAATAATATCTAAACAATATCTAACAATAATAATAAATCTATTCCAAGATATATTTTATTCTTATAGAAGTTTTTTTTTTCTATTTGTATTTTGTTATGAGGAGAGGAAAAGTTACATTGCCATAAAAAATGTGAGAAGTTATTTTTTAATTTTCCTAAAATTTTCATTTTTCTTTTTTATTTTAAACTATTTTGAATTTATAAAGTATTTCCTAAAATATAAAAATTACCTTCGTAAATGTATTTTTAGATATATTTAGAAATAATATTCTAATATATTTTTGAAAATGTTATTCCTTTTAACGACATCCCTGAAAGAACATCACGTGAAACAAATGTACCTTACAATATTTTCGTAAACTTGTCGAACGCCATGTTTGTACCGTAAGTGGGTTTTAATTCTTGTTGAGAGAAACAACTTCGAGTTCAAATTTGACCAACTTGATAATGGGCTTCTTTAGGGACAAGTCCAACTCATAATGGGCTGATACGCTAACATGATCCATAAGCTTCGAAACATTTGCAGGCCACTACACACGAATAATAAGTTATTCAATTAAGAATAATATATGTTAATTACTAAAATTAAAAAAATATATATTTAAGTTTTATTTTAAATAATTATTTAACTATCAACTGAGTTTTAGCTTTAATCACTCGTAATATCCTTTTTCCTTTTAACGATCATCATTTAACAACAGCGCGAATTTAAAATACATGGCTAAAATTATAGATATCATTAACTAACGTTATGTCAAATAAATAAAATTAACTATAAGTATGATTATATAATCAAAATTAAAGTGTTTTAGTACACTAATTACTATACGAGATTAAAATGGTAAGTATGTTAACCAAAATACAAAGTTTGTACAACAATGATGAGTAAATTACATTTTAAAAAATGTTAAGTAATTTTGTTAACTTAAGAAATTTACTATATATGAAAAATAAAAGTACTTATGATGTTATTTTATGTTAATTAAATAATAAATAAATAACACAAACTTTCTTATTATTTTTTACTTATCTAAATAAATAAAAAAGAATTTTATCAATTAAATAATATATTCTATTTATCTTGTACTGTTTCATTTCTTATTTTTTTTATTCTTTTTGTTTCTCTCTCACTCCAGTGGCTAAATAGAATTGGGGTTGGCATGCTTGCTTATACACTGGTCGATCCCAGTATTCCTTCTTCTTCTCGCGCAGCCATTCGTGGATTCAACGAACTGAAGCTTCTATTCTATTTGCGTCCTTTTTGTTTCACTGGTTACTTTCTTTCTTTCTCTCACACGTTATTTGTATGCTGGAGGGTTAAGATAGTCTTAGATTTTTTATTGATACTTGCCATTTTTCACATCGCTATTTAAATCACCTTTACCTGGTACGGTGAAAATTTTGCGAGATATGTTATGGTTTTATTATGAGAAATTAAGTTGCTTACGAAGTGTTTGACGAAATGCCTACCCATTCTGTTATAGTTACAATCTAACTCCACTCTCCTAATTGCTTCTGCTGTCGATAATTGGTCATCTTATGATACGAAATTATCAGTTTATTTGACAATAATTGTTTGCAAGCGTTACCTGGAACTTGAGCTGGCTAAATTAATTAGCCTCTAATCACTAGCTAATTATTAGTAGCGATCTACATATTAAATATATTTAAGGACGTACGGACCCTGATCATGCTAAAGAGGAAAGCTTTGAAATCACAAATTGTCCGTAGTTCACAGTCTCCTTTTCATTGTCAAGAATTAAGATTTGGCTTAAGCTGTTGCTGTGTTTGTTTTTGTTTCTATGTATAGCAGCTTCAAATTATCTCTTGAATGCATTCCACTCCCTTCATAGAAACTAGTGTCCTAATAGAGTTTGCTTTCAGTGTTTCTAAACTGAATGTTGGTTACATTTCACACTTGTGGCCATATTTTGTGGACTTGTCATACCATATTGAATGAAATATTTTAAACAGTACTTAGCTTCCCTTTATTTTTTACATCCATGAAGTTTTCTTGATTTTCAGATTCATAGTTCTCCTACATATGTCAAGGTCTTATGTGAGAAAATCTGCTTTTTGTTTATATAATATGCATGACATGTTGTGGAGTTCATTGGGTTTAGTCACTATTCTCTGATTAGCACGATGGTCTTGTAATATATTTCATTTTATATAATGGAATGTTATACTCTAGTGCTTGAGATTGAGAACTTTAGTTGAAGTGTTGTGCCAATGATCAGGTTGAGTCAGTAGTCTCTGTCCAGGATGATAGTCTTTGTAATATGTTCATTTGTTAAGAATTAGAAACATTATAACATTGATGAATAACCTTGACACCAAAATTTTCACGATGGTCTATGTTTAATGGTTTTTCTTGTACTAAAGAAAATTTGATCTTATATTCTGGCTGCAACTTTAAATTTGAAGGAAACTGTTCATTTTGAGGAATAACCCTGTGTTTTCATTTTAATATCCTGGACAATATGCTAGCATAGAAACTACAGTATATGCTGTGCCTTTAACAAAAAAAATCTAAGTTGTTGAATCAGTTTGAAACATGAGTGATATCCTCAAGCATTTATAGATCAAGGAGGAATAATCTGCCTTGTAAGTTCAAATTTTATCTCTCTCTTTCTTTTCAATCCTGGCAAGGCCTCAGTTTTGAGTGGCATAACTAGAAAAAATACTAATGGTTAAAATTAATGATGATTTAATGTTAACGTTGCATTCACTAAGTAGCAAATTTAGAGTTTAGCAAGCAGAAGATAAGCAGCGTATGAGTAGAACTGTGTCAATATGGATTTAAGCCAATGGAACATCCCTGCCCAGTTCTCTTCTTAATCCACTCAACCTGACCCACTCTACTTAAGCAATTTTATTTATTTTTGTTTAACTATTATTAAGTTTTGTTTTACTGTTAATAATCAATGGAACGTTTCACCTCTTTTGTTGAATTGTTAGGGTATTTAAAATATTAAGTAGGTGCATGTCATATTTGGTTTATTGTGTCTCATGAAAGGTAGAACAACAGAAAGCTGGCAGTTTCTATTATGTGCTTTAGTTGTTGAGAGTAAGCGTATGGTTAGCTATTTAGCTTAATATTTACTGTCTTTGTCTGTTGAATGGTACACTAACAGACAACTGGTAGTTTCCACTACTTGGTTTATTTTTTGAGAGTGAGGGTATAGTTATCTCTTTAGCTTTCAATTGTAAATATTGTTTGGTTACTTTACCAGTGTATTTCTGAGGACTAAGTGGATATATGAGATACAAATAATCTCACAATGATAACCTTATCCCACTAAATGAGGTTGGATACATTGATCATACAACTCTATTGAGCTCAGTCAAAGACCAAATTTTCAAGGACATCATCCATGATGTAACCCTTTTCAATAATTTCCTTGGTCCATCTTGGTCTCCTTCTACCCTTTTTTACTGGGTTAGAAAGAAACAATGCAATTTACTATCCCCACTGGTGTTTCCAGTGGTCTTTTTTGCAAGTGTCTAGATCACCTTCACTAATTTTTGGTCATCGTGTTCTCACTTGGTGTCAAACTAATATCTCCTCATATACAATTATTCAATAGTCTCATCCACAAATAGCGTGCATTCATGGGTGATTTTTGTAAGTCCTTGGTAAGCACATTCAAGACTAGGTTACCCAAGTAACTAAAGGCAGCCCCTTATTGTAAAATTATTGTCATAGAATAGTTACAAATTTATAAGATAAAAAATGTTAACCTATAGTAGTTTGCTGATATATAATTTGCTTATAATTTTAGAACATAAAATTGTGAATTTATTGGATCAGATGGGATATTTGTGAAAGGTCAGCAGAAGGATTTTTTTTGAAGTGGAGTCAAATCGCTTACATCAGAAACCTGATTAAGTTCCATGGAAGAAGAGAATCAATATTCTGAAAGTAGTGAAAAACCACAGACACAGGAACCGGATGGAGGAGATCATCAGTTGCAGCATCAATACCAACTACCTGGAGCTGAAGAGAAACTAGTATTGCAATTTATGGATTCGATGCATAACTACCTATCTCTCTTGGATAGAGTATCCTCCACACTTCGACAGGTAAAAGCAAAACCCTTTCAATACAAGAAATTAGTAGCATGGCATCTTTTGAAATGTATAATTTTCTAGTTTACCATTAGCTTTGAATTTAGTTTTCTGATCTGCCATTCTGATAGAGAAAATATTACTTAATAGAAGGTCAAGTGTACTACTGGTTGGATTACTTTGTGCATCCCTTTTTATCATCAAATGAGAGGTTATGAAACCTTGATTCGGGTAGTAACTCCAGTTGAACCTGTAATTTGACAACTAAAAGTTTGCTTAGATAGAGTAAGTGATTTGTCTTTTGGTAACCATTTTTAATATATTATCAGGGATGGTTTGACTTAGCAAGTGCTCGACATTCCATGGGTGCTGCTCGAATTAATAGTTCTTTATTGGACCTGAAATTCCATTCAGCTGCTACAACATTGAAGATAACAAACTATGATGGTAAAAGTTTTACACTGAAGGAAATGGTTGTTAGTTGTGACTGCTGGATTCTACTTGTGTCATTTGCTCAACCCATTGTGCTAGAATGCTTTCACTTTCAACTTTATGAAGCCTTTCAGTAAATATTCCTTTTAGATGGAACCTCTGTTTTGATATATGAACACACTTGTCTCAACAGGTACACAACCACACTTCATTTTGCGTAAATGGGTATCCTCTGAAGAAGAAAGTACTCATGAGATAGAAGATGAGAATCTGCAGCCACAAAACAGTAGTAGTATGAAATCTTCAGGTATTTGTTCTTCTCCCTATGCACCAAATATTGTTGGTGCTTTATGCCGTTAGCGTTTCTCATTTTGTTATATGTTTGTTTGTACCAACTGCTGAGGTGATCATGCCTAAGAATTTATCAGGACTTGCAGATAATGCTGAAGTAAGTATTCTACAATGATAAACCTCATCTTATTACTACATATTAAGCATTAAAAGTAGAATTGATTTGGATCTGTAATATAGTTGCTATCATGAAATATGGTGAATAAATTATAGAATTTTCTTAGCAAAAGTTCCTGAACTGTCAATTGAGCTGCTGTCCAAATCTTGTTAGCGTTTTTTATAGGTTCAAAAGGAGCGGTCCAAATCCTTATCAGCTTTTGGAGTTTTAATTTCACCAAAGCTTCGAGCCTCCCAGCTGTCATTTGAGAGAGGTGAATAGCAGAACTAAAGATCTTAGTTCCCCATACTTTCTTTGCAAATGTGATTTTAATCATTAGTTTATTTATTATACTTGTCACATTCTGCAAATTGAAATTCTTTGCAGCACTAGAGACACTCGTAGAAATAGCTAATATGCAATCGTCATTGTTATATTCTTTTCACCAACTTCAGAAGGAGGAAGATACCAAAGAATGAAAAAGTACCGAATCAGTTCCTTCTGGTACAGTTATGTAACCTTATTTGCTCTCTCTTTCTTTTTTAGTTATTCTTTTTTAGTTATTGTGTTGGAGATTTTTTTTTTTTCTTTCGATTGCCTATGAAGACTACTGTATTTTGTTTGTACTGACAAGCCAGATATTATTTAAGTAATATATATCATGAACAAAGATGAACAAAAAAATATAAAGTATATTTGGGTTAAATTTATGCTTGGATTCCCTGTGGCTTAAGATAAACAAATTTAAATTTCACTCATTTTTCATTTGATATGAAATCCTTTTGTTTAAAGTTAAATGCAAGTTCTATAGGGACTAGATGGGCCATTATATAGCACGTGTGCATTTGAAATGTAAAATTATAAAGTACTGAGGTTTTGGCAAACTGATATTATCATGAGGATATCATCCTTTTTTTCTATATAAAATTCTCTTTAATTGTGGGGTAAAAGCTTTTACCTTTCCCTCCACTTAAGGGAATTTAGGCCGAACTCATGAAGATGATTTTTTTTCTCACTTTCTGATTAATTCCTTATACAGGCTGCTAAAATGCATTGCATTTGGAGAATCTGATTACAATATTGAAAATCCAGGGTTCAATGATTTTTGGAGCCAAATTTATTTATGTATCTGAAGGCAGTGAACATTTCCCCCATTATGCTTATATTTCAATATTTTGGTTAATGGTCAGTTACAAGTACATGAACATAGTAAGAGGAGAATCTGGGGATGATTTTTTACCCAATGCCTACAAAAAAGTTTTGGGCATGCTGAAGGATGGGACGCAGCCCTTTTCTGTCATATTTATGACCAACAAAGTCAAAACAATGGATTTGGGCTCCCCTTTGGTTGAATGAATGTATGGAAGAACCCCTATGAGTGTTTATGAGAATATGTGTAATTTATTTTCAACAACTTTAAATGATTTTGAATATATTTTATATAAAATTCAATAACTTTATTACATATAACTAATAACTATCCATGCATGAATGATGGATGTAATAACTCTGAATAGTTAAAATGAGATGCTATCTTGGGAAGATGAAACTAATACTTCAAAATATTTTTGTCCTCTGTTCTATCTAGTTCATTGTATGTTAGTTTTTCTGTGTTGACTCAATATATCAAAAGTATCAACAAAGGCCTATTTAACTTTTAAAATGAACACAATTGTAAAAAAAAATTAAACAGTATAAATTTACTCACAGGTTGATTTAAATTGAAGTTTCCTAAGTTTTACTAACTTCAATTTTTTCACTTTTGTTTTGTGATCCTCATTTACATCTCAGTTGGTTCATAGTTGAATTTTTTAAATAGCTTAAACTATAAATCCTATAAAGAAATTTTTTTTGGAGATAGTTTAAGAGTAGAAAAGTGGATTGAGTATGATCCACCCAATATATAAAAAATATGGGTTGAGTCAAAGGTTTAAGATTCAAAAATCGAAAATCAAAATTTTATTAGATTTTTTATATGTTTTTTAAAATTGCATAGTCAGATTTCAAATTAAAAATTAAGAATCAATGTAAAATATTTTAAAGTTAATTATTAACTAATAAATATATAATTATATTTACTAAATGTTATGTTTATGTGATTGATTGAATTCTATTTATAATATATTTGTGTTTATTAAAATATGATAATAATTTAGAATTATAGATTCTAATTATAAAATTATGTAATTTATTTATTCATCTAAGTGAAATTGAAATTATGAATATAATCATAGTATATGTTTTTATGATGTATTATTATAAAATTTTAATTTTGAAAGAAATGTTTTATAATATTTTTAAAAATGATTAATAATTTAATAATAATAAAAATTTTAAAACTGATTAAATTCAACCGCGAATATTGTTAATTTTTATTGAACTAAATAAAATTATATTTAATTTTTATATTTGTTTTAAGTAAATTTTTATAAAAAAATTTCAGACAAACGGGCACATGAAGCAAACTGAAACGATACAGAAAACAAGAAAGGACACTCCCTACGTCAACTAATAAAAAGCATTTAATTTCCCGCTCAACCCCGCAAACTCAAAACTCAAATTGTGTTAAGTTTCCATGCTGGCAATCCGCCACAATGCCCTTCACCCAATCACATTCAATGTCCATTCTCTATATAAATGAAAAATCAAAACCATTATTTTCACAATTCAAAGGTCATATCCTTTCCCAGTATACTAACTTCAGAAACTTCAATTTCACAGATCAACCACTATGAGTTCCACTGAGGAAGCTACAACAACAACTAAGAAGGGTGGAAGGGGCAAGCCCAAGACCACAAAGTCTGTTTCTCGCTCCTCCAAAGCCGGTCTCCAGTTCCCTGTTGGTCGCGTAGCTCGTTACCTCAAAGCCGGTCGCTATGCACAGCGTGTGGGTTCCGGTTCCCCTGTATACCTCTCTGCAGTTCTCGAATATCTTGCTGCCGAGGTTTGTTCAATTGTTTGCTTTGCAGTCATTATCTTTTGATAAATCTTCTAGGTTTTTAATTTTGTGAATCCATTTTGGGTTCAGGTTTTGGAGCTTGCGGGGAATGCTGCCAGGGACAACAAGAAGACGAGAATTGTCCCGAGGCACATTCAACTTGCGGTGAGGAACGACGAGGAATTGAGCAAGCTTATGGGGTCTGTGACTATTGCTAGCGGTGGGGTTCTGCCCAACATTCATCAGAACTTGTTGCCCAAGAAGGCGGGCAAAGGGAAATCCGAAATAGGTTCTGCTAGTCAGGAGTTTTAAGATTTTTAGGGTTTTATGTTACAGTTTGTGCTGGAGAAAGTGTTTGGTTAATTTAGTAGTTGGTATATTTGAGACTAGGACCCAGATTTGATTATGTATAGTCCTTTATTCCGTGAAAAATAATTAGTTCTTCTGGTTTTCATCGATGACAAAAAAATATATTATAAAGAATATTATCATTTATTTTTCAAAATTACCTTACTAATATATAAATAAGAAAAAAAATAATTAATATGAAAACTTTAAAAACGGCAGAAAAGTAAGAAAAAAATAATCAATATGAAAACTAAAAAAACCGAGAAAAATAATTATAGAAAAAAATAATTAATATAAAAATATAGCGTTGCAACTATAAAGAAATTTCTCTCATTTAAACAAGTAACTAAACACGAAATAAATTGATTTGCTGAATGTTGCGACGGTGAAGAATGAATTAATAATTCATGAAACCTGGTGAAAAGTTTTTTATTCTTAAGTAAGCAAGTGTGTATCATCTTTCTTCGTAACATTGCTTGAATGGTTAAAATTTACAGGTCCAATTAGTTATAGAAAAGAAGCAAACTTGTGTTTTATATGAATTTTATCTAACCAAAGAGCTTTTTTGAGTTTTTAGTAAATTACTAAAATTTGTCACGAGGAAATTAAATGTGATTCAGTTGTATTATTTTAATAATCAGTTAAGTTATTTTTAATTTAATATGAAAAATTATATATAGATGTGCATTTACCTTTTTTTTTTTTTTGAAAAAAAAAAAACGCTTCTTCCCCCGTCATATAAGTAAAGAAAATGCAGACGCATTCTTCAATATTGTTGCTCCCATCATATGAAAAAACCGCTTCTTCTTAGGGTCGCTGTATATTCACCGTATCATCTTCAACACCATAAATCACTCTACTCTGCGTCGCTTTCTCCACATCAAACCAAATGGAACTCCAAAACCAACGTCATAATCACTCACCCAACCCTTGCGGTGATGGAATCATGTTCCTCCATGAATCAACTCAGGCAGATTCAAGCGCGCATGACTCTCACCGGCCTCATCACCCACACCTTCCCCCTCAGCAGACTTCTCGCTTTCTGCGCCCTCTCCGAGGCCGGCGACCTCCGCTACGCCCGTCGTCTCTTCAGCCGTATCCCCCAACCCAACACCTTCATGTGGAACACCATTATCCGAGGCTATAACAAGGGCCGAAATCCCGCCACGGCCTTCTCCTTCTTCATCCTCATGCTTCGGCACCGCGTTCCGTTCGACCCCAGAACATTCGTCTTCGCGCTCAAGGCTTGCGAGAACTTTTCGACGGCTCCACAAGGAGAGTCCGTGCATTCCCTTGCTCGAAAAACGGGGTTTGATTCCGAGTTGCTAGTGCGGAATGGGTTGGTGCATTTTTACGCTGCCCGTGGTTGGTTGAACCACGCGCGCGGGGTGTTCGACGAAATGTCTGTTAAGGATGTTGTTACTTGGACCACGATGATTGATGGGTATGCAGCGTGCAACTGTTCTGATGTGGCTATGGAGCTGTTTGGTTTGATGTTGGAGGGTGATGTTGAGCCTAATGAGGTCACGCTCATTGCGGTGCTTTCAGCTTGCTCTCAGAAGGGTGACCTCGGTATGGGGAAAATGATTCATGAAATTATGGAGAAGAATAATGCGCGGTGGGGTTTGAGTTTACATAATGCCTTGTTGGATATGTACGTGAAATGTGGCAGTCTGGTGGCTGCAAGGGAGGTTTTTGACGGAATGGAAAGTAGGGATGTTTTTTCTTGGACTAGCATGGTTAATGGGTATGCCAAATGTGGTGACTTGGAGTCTGCAAGGAAGTTTTTCGAACAAACTCCTCAGAAAAACGTGGTCTGCTGGAGTGCGATGATTGCAGGATATTCTCAGAATGACAAACCTGAGGATTCATTAAAATTGTTTCATGAAATGCTTGGGCAAGGTTTTGTTCCGGTTGAGCATACCTTAGTGAGTGTGCTCTCTGCTTCTGGTCAACTGAGTTGCTTGAGTGCGGGTCATTGGATACATCATTATTTTGTTGATGGAATAAGAATACCGCTGACAGTTACCTTGGCAAATGCCATTATAGATATGTATGCCAAATGTGGAAGCATAGATGCAGCTGCGGAAGTCTTCAGCGCAATGTCAGAGAGAAACTTGGTTTCTTGGAATTCTATGATTGCAGGTTATGCTTCCAATGGTCGAGCAAAGCAAGCTGTTGAAGTTTTTGATCAGATGAAGTGTTTGGGATTTAAACCGGATGATATTACATTTGTGAGTTTGTTGACAGCTTGCAGTCATGGTGGCTTAGTTTCTCAAGGTCAAGAATACTTTGACTCCATGGAAAGAAACTATGAGATAAAACCCAAAAAGGAACATTACGCTTGCGTGGTTGATCTACTAGGCAGAAATGGCCTCGTAGAAGAAGCTTACAAGTTAATAACAAACATGCCAATACAACCTTGTGAGGCTGCTTGGGGTGCCCTTTTAAGTGCTTGTAGAAAGTACGGCAATGTTGAGCTGGCCAATTTGTCTGCATCTAATCTTCTAAGTTCGGATCCAGAAGACAGCGGCGTCTATGTGCTTCTGGCAAATATTTGTGCTAAAGAGAGAAAATGGGGTGATGTTAGGAGGGTGCGAAGTCTGATGAGAGACAAGGGTGTGAAGAAGATTCCTGGTCGTAGCTTAGTAGAGATAGATGGTGAATTTAAAGAGTTTTTGGTGGCAGATGAATCACACCCACAATCTGAGGAGATATATAGAGTACTGGATGAAATATTTATGTTATCAAAATTGGAAGACTGAAGGTGACTGCGACTTATATATAGTCTTCAATCGGGACAAATATCTCTCTGCATGACATTCCAGTAAAACCTGAAACTCAAAACCTTGCCGCCTTGGGAGTAATATAAAAGACTTGTAAAGGATTTGATAGCAAAGTGGATGGTGAATGGTGAATGGTGAAGTCTCCTGCTATTTCCAATAATTGCTTAAACTACAACATAATTGTACTTGTATTGCTATCCTTATGGAGTCTGTTCCTGTTCACATCTCTAGGAACCTTCGGCAGGTTATTTTGCTAAAACTCCATTTACAATACAGGCATAAAGGTGTTAACTTCTTATACTCACCTGAAATTTAAGCTATAACAAAGCCATTCATGAGTTCATTAAGGACAATGAGCTTCATTCTGACTCTCACAGAGTGCACTTGTTAACTTGTATGCAAGTTGTGGTGCTTTGCTATGGATTTTAGCTTAGTCTATGATCACCTTCCATCCAAATATTTGCTTGCCTCAACTACAATGCTTTCGGGGTATGCAAAACTTGGAATGGTTCTTGCTTCATATTTGATCCTATGGTTGAAAAGGACTTGTTATGTTGGATGCTATCGTTTCTGTTTTCACTGAAAATGATCAGCCTCACGAGGCTCTTGGTTGAATAAAATGCAACGTTTGGTTCACTTGTTCAAGCGAAATGGGTTCATACATAAGCAGTTAAAAAAAAGGGTTTGAAAGAGTTCTACGCCTGCCAATATTACGAATTTCTAAATAATGTTAATAATCTGCTACGGATTGTCTATCATTGGGTTATATCAGTGAAGTGCAGCGCATCTTTTTGCAACCTGGATTCTCAGACTAGAAACGATCCTTTCTACAAAGGCTTTTCTCACGGTCGTAGCTACCCATCATTCCTGGTAGGAAGAGTTTAGTTGGCTATTGTCTTCGTGCAAGCTCAATTTGCTTCAGACTATCTTTCAGAGACTAGAATTTTTCTTAACGTTATTTTTTTCTGACTTAAAATTGATTATATCATAGAAGTTTTGTCAATGTTTGAGTTTAAACTCCACTCCAATCTTTTTGTTATAAAAGGAACCATAATATTCATTATCGGTTTTAAAATTAGTTATGCTGTATGATATGAACCTCCGCACAAGGACTGACTTAGATTAGAATCTTGGAAGAAATTAGTGAGAACAAAGATTAGAAAGTGGTGAAGGTTTCAAGGATCGACAATATTTAAGAAATTTAGGACAGTATTTTTGAAACGTCAATATCTCAAGTTATAAAACTTCGAATGAGGTGATTAAAAAATGAAATGAAAGTTCTCGTTCTAAATTTTAATTTAGGCTCAAAAAACACTTAATTTAGACAAGTAGAACGAAAGTTATGACCACAGAATAAATTTGAGCAGAATTGAGAATTAAGAAAGGACAAGAAGTGAATATAAAAATTCAAAGGAAATAATCACTCTTCTCATTGCATTTGTTAATGGAAATGTCTACTTCAACTTGTTGTCTCCCTTGTATCTCTTCATCCTTATTAAGTCATTGAAGTTTATAACGCCTAGGATGTGATTTAGTAGCTAAATTTAGCTTTGATACTAATCTAGCACTAGCCACATTAATGCAACTACCTCCATCTATGATCATCATGCACACCTTGCCATTGATTAAACATCTAGTGTGGAATGATGTTTTTTCTTTGGCTTTCTTGCATAGACTTCAATTGGCTATCAAGTAATCGCCTAATCATCAATAAATCTCTCTTTGAAGTATCCTCCTCCTTAATGTCCTCATTTTCCTCTTCCTCTTCAACCTCAAATTCACTTACATATTCTTCCTCTCTAAGAACCATGGACATTTTGTTAGGGCTCTCATAAGCATAATGTCCTAGGCCTTGACACTTGAAACACTTCACATCTCTATTTCTTTTAAAGGGTTGTTCTTGGGACTTTGAAGGAGTCTTTGAAGAAATAGGTGCATAATTACTAGAAGTAACATCCCCATCTTTCTTGTCTCTGTCTTTCCAACTTGAAGAGACTCGAATTGAGTTATTGCTCGACTAGAATTGTTTTATGAAGCAAATCCTCCATATCAACAAACTCCTACAACTAGGGATGGAAAAACGGGTCAGCCCGCCCCGCCTTTGGCCTGCTAAAAACGGGGTGGGGCGGGCTGTCCCGTTATAGTCATGACGGTCTGTAGACCTTGGCCCGCCCCGCCAAGGAGCGGGTTAGCGAGCTGATCCGTCATAATTTAGAAAAAATAATTTATTTTTTAAAATAATTTATTTTAATAAATTTAATAATAAGATTATTATTTGTTTGTCAATAATTCAATATATATATATATATATTATTTCAATTTAATAATATAAATCAATACATTGTTTTAAGAAATTATAATTTAGAACAATAACAAAATTTACATAATAATAAATAATAACAAATATATATATATATATATATATATATATATATAACATTAAAACTTATAAAATTTATATTTTTTATATTGAAAATTTCAAATACCTATATCTTTTTTATTTGATAAAACTTCATATTATTTTTGGTTGAGTAATTCTTACACCTTTAATTCAAGTCATAAAGATAAAAATAATCGATGCTTAGGATGAACAAGGAGAACAGGAGAGAGAATGTTATGTTTCAGTAGGGAGAATATTTTGTGTGAGAGTGAAACTTGTTTAATTCTCTTTTTAAAATTTTTAACTTTATATATTATCTTTATAATTAATTTTATTACAATAAAAATTTATTTTTTTATTAATTAGGCGAGTCCACGGCCGGCTCCGCCTCGTCCCGCGGTTGGCCTCATCGGGTTGGCGGGCGGGCCAAGCGGGCTGAAAACACCAACCCGCCCCGCCGGACCTAGCCCATTTTGCCATCCCTACCTACAACTCAACAATATCACGTATATCAATATTCAAACCACCAATAAATCAGGTGATAATTACCTCTTCATCTTCTTCAATCTTTGCTTGAATCATGAGCATGTTCATTTCCTTGAAATACTCCCCAACTCCCTTGTTGCCTTGAGTAAATTTTTGGAGTTTGAATTTTAAGTCCCTTAAGTAACTAGCTGATACATACCGCTTCCTCATTATCCTTTTTATCTCAGCCCATGTATCAACCATTGACTTTTCATTTTTACCTCTCTCCTTTTGTAGCTTGTTCCACCAAACAAGAGCATAGTCAGAAAATTCCATGGCTGTGAGCCTCGCCTTTTGGGTCTCCTCATAATTGTTGCATGAGAAACATGCTCTATTTTTATCTCCCACTCTAATTATGCCTCCGGATTACTTTTTTCTTTGAACAGATGAATGTTAAGCTTGACTTCTTCCAGCCTACTTGGTCTTGCTACTCCATCATTCCTTCTCCTATTTCTCCTTTCTTCTTCATCTTCGGGATTTCTATTCTTCAACCAGTTCAATCTTTCATGGAGCTCATTGTTATGTCGTATCATTAATCGTTTCAAATGTTGTATCAATGCCCTCATTTGGAATGGACTAATTCCTGCTCATTGATTGTAATTTTCCTCCTCTGTCATCATAATTTGACGTTCAAACCGGAGCTCTGAATACCAAATGATATGAAACTCCTTTGCACAAGGATTGACTTAGGATCTTTAAGGTTAAAACCTTGTAATAAATTTAGGAAATTAGTGAGAAGGGGGATTAGAAAGTGGTGAAAGTTTTAGGGTTGTGCAATATTTTTGAAATATCGATATCTTAAGCTATAAAACTCTGATTGAAGTGATTCAAAAATAATATGAAAGTTCTCGATCTGAATTTCAATTTAGGCTTAAAAAACACTTAATTTGGATGAGTTAAATGAAATTTATGACCATGAAATAAATCTAGGCAGAATTAAGATTTTTGAATTCTAGTAAAGAAAGGACAAGAGCTGAATGTGAAAGGTCAAAAGAAAGAATCACTCTCCCCAAGAGAGACAGCTCACAAAGGATGTGAAAGTCATTTGATACGACCAAGAACTTAGGAGAATCACTCTCACTAAGATAAAAGAGTTAAACTCTAATATTTTTGAATAAAACTCAACTTGTTTTTTTTTTTTTATAAAAATGGTTCAACTTATATAGAAATTTTGTCATTAGAGTTACCACAAATCAATAAAGGAAAATAAATCATAATAATGATCCATTAATCTAGGAATTGAAAACTACTTACTGGAAAAATAAATGTTAATAATGATCCATTAACTTAAGAATTGAAAACTACTTAATAGTTGATTGTAACTGAAATTATGGCAACCAAAAGTCAATCAGCTATGCATCATCTTAGTCTTCCAAAGGTTGATGCCTAAGAGCATCTTCAAAGGGAGTTGCTACCAAAAATTTGTTAGGAATAAAAGTTAATATTTTATTATGGATCTCACATCTAAGTTGCTTAAAAATGAAGAAAGTTGCTTAAAATTGGAAGAAAGTTGTTTGGATAAGCAATTCTGACCAAGTTTTAAGTAACTCAACTATGAAACTCATAATAAAATATTCAATTTTATTCTTAAACAACTCTGGTTAAAAACTTACTTTAAAGATGCTCTAATTTCTAATTAGGCCTTTATTACAACTTGAAATAAAACCAAACTAAAACCCATTAATTGATTAACCAAAAACATAATTTGGTCAATCAATTTTGCCAAGGATTGGATCATTATTTAAACAAACTTAAAGACTAAAACAAAGTAATGCATTAGTCTTCCTCTATTTGGGTCATGATGTAATTAACAACTTTGGTCTTTTCATCTTGAAATGTGGGCTTGTACTTAAATAATATGGACAACACTTATTGAATAATTTCCTTTGTTTTCCTTATTTTAGCTTTTGTCATAAGCCCTTCAATTCCTTCAAATATATCCTAATCCTTGCTCATAGTCATTTCCTCTGTACTTGCCCCGAAAGTTGGTCATGATAAACAAGTCTTTCTTTTGATTTTCCATACTTACTATATATTTTTAATATTTTAAAGATAATCACGTATTATGGATCAA